CCGGGACTTTGAATTATGTGCGTTACGCATTTTAAATCCCTCGGAAATTTTCATGTATATCTCATTGTCAAGTGAGCCATAAAGGTAGGCTGTAACCACATCCATTAAATGCATGTCAAGCTTTTTATGGACAACAAAACTAATGAGATAACGGAACGTTATAGCATCCATAACGGGTAAATATGTCTCTTCATAATCGACACCAGACCTTTGTGAAAATCCTTGTGCAACAAGGCGTTCCTTATATCTTTGTATCTCATTTTTCTCATTCCTCTTGCGTACAAAGACCCATTTATAGCCAATAGTCTTAACACCATTAGGTGTTTGGACTACAGGTCCAAAAACTTCACGTTTTACAAGTGAATTCAACTCTGATTGGATTGCTTCTTGCCATTTTGGCCAATCACATCTTTGTCGACATTCTCTAATAGATTGAGGTTCAAGATCCTCACTATCTTGCATAATACTAGATGCAACATTATATGCAAATACATAATCCACCACTATATCCAATCGATTCAAATTTGTCTCAATATCAATTGGATTTATTGATAATTCCTTATTTTCTTGAGTATCAGGCTCAGTGATTTCCTCATGAATCTCAGGATTGGTTAAATCGTGGATTTCTTCATGAGACTCTTTCGTAGTGTCATTTTGATCATTTGTTTTCCTTTTTCTAGGATTTCGATCCTTAGAACCTAATGGTCTGCCACGTTTTAGACGTATTTTTGACTCATTAGCTATGACACTAGAAGGTTGTCCAGTAGGGACATCAATACGGATTGGAACATTCTCTGCAGGGATATGTGATTTTGTTATCTTTTTCAAATCCGTAAATGCGGTTGGCATTTGATTTGCTATTCTCTGCAAATGGATAATCTTTTGCACCTCTTTTTCACAAATAGAGGCACGTGGATCAAGATGAGATAATAATGAATTTTTTCACAAAATTTCCCGTTTGGTTTCACTAACTTCTCCCCCTAATTTTGGGAAAAAGTGTCTTATCGAATCGACAGTCTGCAAATCGTGCAGTAAATAAATTCCCCGTTATTGTTTCGAGGTAGCGAATAATAGAGGGCGATTCAAACCCAACATATATTTCTAACCTTCTTTGGGGACCCATTTTGGTGCGATATGGCGGTGCTACAGGCACACTGCGCATCCAAAAATTCTTAAATGGGATATATTAGGTTTATGACCAAAACTAATTGCAACGGAGAATATTTATGATAATTTGTCGGTCTGAGACAAACTAGCATTGCTGCATGCAAAATGGCGTGACCCCAAACAGAAGTGGGCAACCTCGTTTTCATGAGTAACAATCTTATTATCAATTGCAGACGTTTAATTAAAGACTCTGCAAGGCCATTTTGAGTGTGAACATGAACTACAGGATGTTCCACTTTTATCCCAATTGATAAGCGATAATCATTAAATGCTTGGGATGAAAACTCAGCAGCATTATCAAGTCTAACAGACTTAATTGGATTATCGGGAAATTGTGCCCGTAATCGAATTATTTGTGCCATTAATTTTGCAAACGCGAGGTTGCGAGATGACAATAGGCACACATGAGACCATCTAGAAGATGCATCTATTAAGACCATAAAATATCTAAATGACCCACTAGGTGGGGTGAATAAGTCCACAAATGTCCTCTTGTATACTTTCTAAAAACGCAAGGGACTCAATCCCAACCTTTGTTGGTGATGGTCTTATAATTAACTTGCCTTGATAACAAGAAGTGCAGGAAAATTCATAATTTAAAAGAATCTTTAAATTCTTTAATGAATGCCCATTTGAGTTTTCAATAATTCGTCTCATCATAATTGATTCAGGGTGTCCCAATCGATCATGCCAAAGTACAAAAGTATTGGAATCAGTAACCTTTTGGTTTACGGTAGAATGTGCCTCAATTGCACTAATTCTTGTCCAATACAGACCACAAGTTAAAGATGAGAACTTCTCAATAACTCTATTTTGGCCAGAGACTTTCTTGGTAATGATGAGATATTCAAGATTACTCATCTATTGTCTCAATATGATATTCATTTCGGTGGATATCTTTAAAACTCAACAAGTTCCTACTGGACTTGGAGGAGAACATTGCATTCTCTATGATAAGTATTGTTCCCTTAGGTAGAGTTATAGCAGCTCTAAAGCCTTAAATTAATTTACTCCTACCAGAAATTGTAGTAACATCTGCCTTACACATACTTAAATGAGAGAAATATTTCTTCTCTTTGAATATTGTATGTGTCGTACATGAATCAACTAAACAAATATTTTTACAATTGAACTTTGATCCAAGATTGCTTTGTGGGATATCCATATTTGCTTTCCATAGTTTGACATACAAAACAAATATACGAATAAACATTAGTATATTCTTATCGATTAAATATATTCATGAATTTGTTCAAGCGATTAACAAGGGAGCTAATAATGAGAAAGATAAGGACATTAAGTAGAATTAAATACCATACATCTAAATAATACTATTAACACAGTGTGAAATTGCAATTGTAGAAGAAAAGAAAACAACTAATTTAAAAATTAGTTTTACGAGCACACATTGTAATGAAAAAAAATTATTTCTATTTGTTTCATGGTCAATCACTTCTGTATTTTGGTTGTGGCTTTTAAGCTTCGGTGGTCATTGCATGTTGGACTGTTTCCTTACAACTCAAGGCTTGACACTACAGATAAAGCTTGCCTTGCATTCAACATAAAATCTACCCATCTTAAACAAGTTGTATCTAAAAGTTAGGGAAAATTCAGAAGTGGGAAAAGATATGCCACATGTGTTACGACGCGAACTGTATGGGCGTGATCGCACATGTCCTTAACTATATACTATCAGATACATAATCCGTACATTGTCCAATGCAAAATACTCAATTGATTGTATAAAACAAATATTATAACTATATTTAATCAAAACGAACTAACACTATTTTATAAAATAAATAATACTAATGACTACTACTCATGTAAAGAACTATGGTTACATGATATTTATTCACTAGCTCCTAAGAATAGGCGAAAATAAAAATTAAACTACTTAATCATCTTTAACCACGGGTCCATCACCGCAAGTGGTCTATTTTCCTATCAGGGTGCTCAAAGAAGTCTGTCACATTTAAGTGGGTGATGTCACATTCATTGTCAAATTAGCTTTAGGGCCTTTATTCTTTAGAGATGCTTGATAAAGCTCAACCAAATGTCTTGGTGTACGACAAATATTTGCCCAATGCCCTTTTCCACTGCAACGATAACATTCAGTTTCTGTACCATTTGCCTTTGGCTTCTCATCTTTCCCTTTCCAATTTTGGTGGTTATTTTTCTTTGGGAGGTGATTAACACCAGGAGAATTTCTTCCTTGTCTACGCCACAGCCACGACCACGACCACGAATAAGGCCACGGCCTTTTCCACGCTTAGCATAATGGGAATACACCTCATTCACTTCAGGCAATGGTGTAGACCCAGTGGGTCGATTTTCATGATTTCTCATGAGCAAGTCATTGTTTCGCTTAGCCACAAGGAGAAGAGAAATCAGCTTAGAGTACTTCTTGAAACCTTTCTCTCTGTACTGCTGTTGCAGGACTATATTGGAGGCATGAAACGTTGTAAACATTTTTTCAAGCATATCATAGTCAGTGATAGTATCTCCACAGAGTTTCAATTTAGAAGTAATTCTGAACATCGCAGAATTATATTCAGAAACAGACTTAAAGTCTTGGAGCCTTAGATGAACCCAATCATATCGTGCTTGTGGAAGAGTGACCAACTTTAAGTTGTCATATCTTTCCTTTAAGCCATTCCACAAAACAAGCGGATCTTTGACTGTGAGATATTCTATTTTCAACCCTTCATCAATGTGATGACGCAAGAAAATCAAGGCCTTAACACAGTCTTGGTTGGATGCTTTAGTTTGTCTTTAATGGCGTCTCTAAAACCCATTGCATCTAAGTGGATTTCAGCATCCAACACCCATGTCATATAGTTCTTGCCCGAAATTTCAAGGGCAACGAACTTTCTTTTTATAATGTCAGTCATAATTAAAAAGAGGAGAAAAGTTATACCTTAATCTTCTCAAAGAGCTTTTTGAGACAGTAGAGTCTCGTGCTGATAACGTGTGACGAAAACAATAAAAGAAGAAGAACAATGTTGCAGAGAAAGAGAGAGACGAAATTCTTATTGAATTTTGGGATGATATACAATGAGGTAAGACCCCTCAATTTATAGGGGAAAAATGACTTAGCCACAAAGTAAAACTCTCTATAAGATAGACATTCACTCTAATTACAATCTATTCATAACAGATTCTGATTTGTTTTCTTTTCTATTTTTTTATTTTTTATATATGACTGAGCACATTTAATCTTTCAATTAGTTAAAATGTATGATTTTGGTCCCTTTATAGGAAATGTGTCATATTTTACGATTTTAAACTATATTTTAAATCTAATATGAAGTAACAATACAAACTTAACATAACACATTAGTTCTTAACTGGTGGGACATATTAATAATTTAGGTAAATCCATGAACATTTATAAGCAAATGATTAAAGGTGCACATATCAATTAATTGAAGGATAAACATGCTAAGCAAGATATTACAAAGACTAAAATCAGAATTTTAACATTCTTATTTTTACATGTTAGCATAATGTGTTTGACCAAAAAAATATAATTCTTGGTTTAAATAATTAAATTTATATGATTATGGATTAAATTTAGTAAATAATAATATTTCTAAATGTAACTCTCGAAAGTATGACAAGCGTTAAATAGATCTGGTAGAAAAATTATAACAATTCAAAAACTATACCAAAAAATATGTGCAATAATATAATATTTAATAATAATAAATAACAATAAATGACATTTAAGTAAGCTGTTAAGCAACCAAGTGACCCCTTACTAACGTAATTAATTCTCTCGCTAAAACAAATGCTCTCACTTTTCTCTAAATCAGATAGTATCCCCAATGCATTCAAGTGACCCCCCCCAACCAATATCCCCTCCACCTCCCCTTGACCCACTTAATTCAACCAATGAAATTTTGATAAACAATCCTACTCAACCTAATCCCACCGCCCAAACATCTAAGATCACCTCAACAACGGCTACTTCCAAACCAAAAAACTATAAGAAAGCATCTGATTCCACCGTCAAACCACCCTTGCCGATACACCCAAAGATAATACTAGCAATATTAATCCAAACACTAACTCTACCAAGAACACCATCCCCACACAACCCAGAATATCTTCGAATTTTGATCGACCACCTAGAAACAATGAACCTACAACTGGCTTTTCTGGTGCTCAACAACATGATCTTACCCAAGCTACAATCACCCACCCAATATCTAACCCGCTAGATCAGAACCCAGGTTCAACCAACATGCAACAGGTGAAGGCCCCGATTGGTAACAACAGAGCTAATGCTCTGTTTGGTAATAGAGGTAGTGATTAAAATGTGTCAAAGCCATCATTTGCTGCAGCAGTCCAAGCAAAACTTCCATCCCTTGATGAAGGAACTGCACAAATCAAGATCAGATACGACACTCATCTAGGTAAATCGACAGTCTTATTTTCAGCAGAAGATTACTTTATTACTTTGGCTCAAGATTGTAAACTTACGTTAATAGGTAAGTTCTACAGAGGAAAACCCACAATGGAGGAGATTAGAGAAGTTTTTATAAGCCAATTTCATCTAATAGGTTCAGTTAAAATAGCTTATTTTGATTTTATAGATATATACATTGATTTCACAAATGAGGTGGATCACAATCATATCCTATTCAATGAGTATGTTGATATTGGAGAATCACCTATGAAGATCCTAAAATGGACAACTGATTTCAAACCTGAAGAAGAGACATCTATTGTCCCGGTGTGGATTTTAATTCATCAACTACAATGTCACCTTTTCAGATGGAAAGTTATCTCTAAGTTGGTTAGTGATGTAGGAGTAGTTGTAGCACCAAATCAAGCCACTTACTCTAAATCAAGAAGGCTGAAATTGATCTTTTGAATCCAAGACTAGATCAAATATGGTTGGGCTATTAAAGATTGGATGGAACTGATGATGGTAAATGGCTTGACATTGAGTATGAAAAGGTCCCAAGCTATTTTCTATACTGCAAACTTCAGGGAAATCTTGAGATCCAGTGTAGAAATAAGGCCAGGGATGATAAAGTTAAAGCTCAAAGAGAAGAACAAAACAGAAAAGAGAAGGAGGACAAACAAGAACAGGAAAATAATGGTGAAGATGGCTTTCAAACTGTAACAAGGAGGAGAAGCACAAAAGACAAGAAAATTTCAGTAAACCACCAGCAAAGTAGGGAAACTGATCAGAACAAACAACTTGAAAAAATCAAACAGATTCCTAGAGAAAATAGGGGCATCTCTATTAGAGAACCTTCAGAGATTAACCAACTCCCTATAGTTAAGGAAGTACTTGGAAAAGGGAAAGGCACTGAAACTGAAGAAAATATGGTACCTAATAACAAAAATCAAGTTGCTCAGAGTGTATCCACGAATGCTATTGTTACTGACATACCAGAATCAAGTAACAAAAGGAGAAAAAGAGGCAGAAAGAAAAACTAGAATGCGGCAAATGTGAAGATGGAGGCAAGATCCAGACATGGATAAAACATGTCCCAACAAATATATGTCAAACTGATATGGAGAACCAAGGTAACTCAGAAGCCTTGGTCCAAAAGTAGCAGGACCAAATTGCTCCATAGGCTCAAACTTTCTTATTGACCACTCCAGTGGAGGTGAACAATCAAATAGAACCGCAGGCACAGGAAAAGGCAATAAACCATAATGTCAATCCTGAAGAAGTCCAACACAATTACTTGAAAATTATTAGTGATACAACTCTTGATGAAGAAAAATAGAATGAAACAGGATACCATTTAAAACCTGGAGAAAAATCAGACTCGGTGTATGGAGAGGATAATAACTCAGATGTTATGGATTAAAATGGAGATGAAGAAAGTTCAGAAGCAAGTGGAGAATATGCAAGTGTTGATAGTGAAGAGGCAGACAACGATAATCATGCAGATACTCTGGTTGAGAACTTTTGTCCCCAGTCATTGGTAGATGTTAGTGTGACTTCAACCTTTTACAATCTTATCAACTCCGGACACCTATCCCCTAGGGGCAGAGGAAGGGGAAGAGGCAACAACAGAGGTGGTAGAACTTCAACAAGAGGAAGGAGTGGCAATCAACAAAACCAAAAACCTAGAAGGGTCTCAAAGAACAAAAACTCTTATATTAGTGATTGTGTTTAAGTCCCTTTATTGGAATATCAGGAGCATTAAGTCTAATGATTATCTTGAAAGACTTAAACAACTAATCATTGCTGAGAAACTTTTAATTATCGACTTTTGTGAACATTTTCATAAGGCAAACAAACTAGACAAGTTCAAAAGAATTTTGGGCTACCAATATGCTTAATCAAATTGCAACAGTCAGATTTGGATCTTTTGGGAAGTTAATATTGGTTGTGCTACCATTGAGGAGGATGATCAACAAGTTACTTGTAGAATTAAGATAAATGGAATCTCTGTACTGATATGCTATGTCTATGCAAAGTGTGAGGAACTTCTGAGAGAGGACCTATGGGACAAACTCAGAAACATCAGTGATAACTATAATATGCCATGGCTAGTTGCCGGGGATTTTAATTGCATTGTTGATCCTGCTGAGAAACAGGGGGGCTCCCCTCATAGAATGTCAAAAAGTCTTGCATTTATATAGTGTATCATGGACTGTGAATTATTGGATGCTGGATACATTGGCTCAAGCATTACTTGGTGCAAAGACTAGACAGGGTTCTAATTATCATGATTGGTTGAATATTTTTGACTCTACCAATATTAATCACTTGATTAAGACTGGCTCTGATCACTTTCCATTGTTGATCTCAGCTAAGTCCAACAATAGATACCATGTTAAATACTTTAGGTTTCTTGATTTCTGGACTGAGGAACCTGGCTTCATGAGTGTTGTGGAACAAGGTTGGAATGTTGAAACTAGTGGCTCTCCACTTTGAAAGTTTCACCTGAAGTTAAAAAATACTTGCAAAAAGCTTTCAGAATGGTCTAGAAATACAGTTGGTAACATATTTACTATTGTGAAGGTTTTGGAAGAAAAAGTTTTTGATCTAGAAGAGAAGTCCATTAATGACAATTCAGTGGCTAATAGAGTTTTTCTTAATCAGGCTAATGCAGAATTGGTTATGGCTCATAAAAAGGAGGAAGCTTTTTGGGGCGGAAATCAGGAATAAAATGATTTGTAGAAGGAGAAGTGAACTCCAAGTTCTTTCACTCTATAGTCAAAGGAAAAAGAGAAGATTAACTCTGGCCAAGATGATTAGTGAGATTGGAGGCTAGATTGAAGGAGAGGATAATATTGCTCAAGAAGCTGTCAAATTTTTGAAAAATAATTCACTAAGGATGATGCACGGAAGGATCTTTCTATTCTGAATTGTATTCCAATGATTGTAAATGAAGAAGATAACAACAAACTATTAGACCCACCATCCATGGAAGAACTCCATGAGCACTCACAGTGCTCCTGGACCAGATGAGGTCTTTGGAAAATTTTACCACAGATGTTGGGAGGTCATAAAGGAGGATTTACTACTAATGATACTTGATTTTTTTTGCAGGTACCCCATTACCAAGATCTCTCACTCACACATGTCTTATCCTGATTTCTGAAGTGGAATCTCCTCAACATTTCACGGAGTTAAGGCCGATCAACCTTAGCAATTTCTCACGCATGATTATTTCAGAATTGATGAACCAGAGGCTTGCTCCTCTAATCCAGAATCTTATATCTCCATACCATACTGGCTTTATCAAGGAAGATCCATAACTGAGAATATCATGTTGACTCAAGAGATGGTGCACAACATTAATCAATATCCACGAATTGGTATTGTCGTCATGAAACTTGACATGACCAAGGCTTATGACAGGGTGGATTGGAACTATTTATGCCTAGTGCTGAAACATATGGGGTTTTCTGAGATTTGGATTGATAGAGTCTGGAGGCTTATATCTAGTAATTGGTACTCAATCAATCTGAATGGAACAAGACATAGGTTCTTTAAATCCACTAGGGGGTATCAAGCAGGGTGATTCTTTGTACCCTTCTTTATTTGTTCTTGGAGCTGAGCTACTATCTAGATTGATGAACCAGTTACCTGCAAAGGGATTTATCCCATATTCATCCGAGAGAAAGGGCCCTTTAATTAATCATTTGTGTTATGCAGACGATACCATTTTATTTTCCTCAGGTGATCATTTATCCTTGAAGATGATGATGTCTAAACTAGACACATATGAAAGAACCTCATGCCAAATGATCAATAAGAGAAAATCTGGCTTCTATGTCTCCTCTAACTTCCCTGAACCTTTTATCACTGAGGTTGAGAATATTACTTGTTTTCCCCATCTTCAATTCCCTATGCAATACTTAGGATTTCCTATTTATGTTGGTCGGAAGAAAGTAGTTTTTTCAACAACATGGTTGCTAAAATTTCTAACAGAATGCAAGGGTGGCAAAGAAACTTCTATCTTATGGTGGTAAAGCGGTCCTGATAAATTCAGTCCTTCACTCACTGCCTTTGCATCTGTTGTCTGTTTTATACCCACCTAAAACTATCCTTTCCCAAATTGAGAAGATTATTGCTAATGTTTTTGGGGTAAAGAAGAGCACAAAAACAAGTTCCACTGGAAATCATGGACTGATCTATGTTTTCCTACTCAAGAAGGTGGAGTAGGTTTTAAATCATTGAACGATTTTTGTAAAAAAAATTCTGCTAAGGCATGGTGGAAGTTCAGGACCAAGCCTAGTCGTCAGAGAGATTTTCTTGAAGCTAAATACTGCAAAAGGAAACATTCTATTCTCATAAAATGGTCTTATGGCCAATCTCATAACTGGAAAAGGCTTATGGATATCAAAGAAGATGTAGAGAAATTTATCCTGTGAAAGATAAGGAAAGGAAGTATGTCCTTTTGGGGGGATAATTGGTCAGGTAAAGGAGCCTTGGCAAAGCTGATTCACTACCAAAATGCTCCCAGAAAAGTTCTTGTGAATAGCTTCTTTGACGATAGAGGATGGATTCTTTCTAAGCTCAGAGATGTTCTAACAATTTTATCAACTATATCATAGGGATTGAGATCCATGAAGGTACAGATGACTGGCTAATATGGACAGTTGACCCGAATGGAGTTTTTACCTGTAAGTCTGCTTGGCAAAACTTAAGGAGGCACCAGAATAACTCCTTTACAGTTGCTATGATCTGGCATAAGAAACTCCCCTCTAAAGTTTCTTTTTTTATACTTAGAATGTTACAGGGAAGAATTCCAATTGATGAATGTGTTCAGAAGTTGAAAATGACACTCCCTTCTAAATGCTCTTGATGTACCACTCATAAAGAAGAGACTATCCTACACCTACTTTGTATGAGCCATATTGCTGATCAAGTATGGTTTTTCTGTAGTCAGAGTTGTGGCATCACTATCAGAAAATGAGATATTAGGCAACTTCTTATGTCCTGGTGGTTAACCAAGCCAAGTAATGGGATTCACGTTGCTTTAATCAAATGTATTCCATCAGTCATATGTTGGGAGATATGGAAAAGCTGATGCGCTGCTAGATTTAAAAATGTACGTGTCTGCTCGATTCATAATTATGCAGGTCTGTAGATCTATGTATTTGCTATTAAAGGCCCTATTTCCTATAGTGCATCTGCCTCTAGAGTGGTATGATATGTGCTATACAGTTGATAAAGCTAGACCAGTTATCATCAGTAAAATGGTTACATGGAGGAATCCTAACAATGGATGGCTAAAACTAAAGATTTATGGCTGTAGGGAAATCCGGTAGTGGTGCTGGTGGTGGTGGTGTTGTCAGGGACTACTTAGGTCGCTTTATCTTGGCCTATGCTAAAAATTATGGGATTTATAGCAATAATGTGGCTGAGGCCAAAGCTTTGCTACAAGGATTGATCTTGTGTATTAACAGAGACTTTCTCTGTGTGATGGTGGAATCTGACTCCCAATTGATAATTGACATGATTAACAACAAAATGACAACACATTGGCATATCTGATATATCATTGATCGGTATTCAACTCTCTAACAAAGGTATTTTTGTTTTTGTTCACACTTACAGAGAGGGCAATATGGTGGCTAAAAAAATGGCAAATATGGGAGAATCAATAAATGGTAAGGTTTTTAATGGATGATTCTAGTTCCTTACCGAACATAATGAAGTCATTATTGAGACTCGACCAAGATGGCATCCCTACTTTCAGATTTAAGCCTAAGAAGAATCATTTTGTTATTAATGATGCCAATAGTAGATAATTTTGAACATTATATAGTGTTGCTAACCTTGTGTATAGCATCCTTTTGTGAAGTTCATTATAGTCAAATTGTAATGGAGGTCATCTCCCAAATTAGGTAGATCGTCTGGGTCCAAGTGTTCTTAGAGCTGATTTATATCAGTCCTCATCTTGCTTTGGATGCTATGGTCTATGCCCTCCTTCGTGTATTAATTATTTTTGATAATATACGGGTTGGGGTCATCGCCTAAACCCCATCCATAAAGGTGGACTTTTGCTTTAAAAAAGAAGACATTTAAGTAAATAGGAGGAGTGATTCACCTAATAAAGGATGAACTAGATGATTATTCTGTTCATTGCAGTCGAAACGATTGGACGAGCTGATCGGATCGTGATGACGGGGTCGAGCTGGCATCGTGGCCCTTTGTGAGCCACAAATTTTGGAATTATGCTGTCAATGAATCAAGGTGATGTCATGAAGTCATGCGTCATTATGACACATTTTCCCTATGTGTCGCTTCGTTTTGTGTGAATTTTGATTGGATATGCCGCTTCGATTACGGTGCCATGTAATGATGAGCCAATTTCTTGGTTATGATGCTTGAATTCCTATAAATAGGGGGTGAGGATATAATTTCAAACTTTAAAAAATTCTTGCATCGAAACCCTGTATCTTCCTCTTCATCTTCCATTGTTGTGCATATTTCCCTTATATTCCAGTGATCCTTATCGTTTTTATTCCCTGTTGTTTGATACCTTCCTCCTTTTTGTTGAAAATATGTCTAACATACCTTGTAGGCCCAACGAGGGAAGCGACTCGGTCCCTCTAGCGATTATTATTCTTCCTTATGCGGAGAACGTTCCCATTGCTATTGAATACGAAAGCTTCCCGACTGTGGAAGAGATAGTTTCGCATAACCCCGATGTCAGGTCTGATTTCTCAAAATTGACTGAGGTCGAATCTGAAGCCTTTAAATCGCTGAAGAAGGAGGCGTATTTGTTAGAGCTTAAGGCAAAATACGGCCTTCCCCATCACGTCGAGCTGATCCCTGCAGGGTGGGACGCGGTGTAGTACCATCGTCTTGGGTATTGTGCATTTTATGCCTATCTCTTTCACGTCGGCTACACTCTTCCTCACCTCCCACTGGCGGAGGAATTCTATCGATTCTATGGTGTTTGTTTGGCTCAGCTTGTGCCGTATGTTTACAAGCTCATAAGGACGCTACCAAGTTCGCGGAGTTAGCTTGGGCCGAGATCACACTTCAACACCTGATGCATCTGTTCGTCCCCAGCTTTTACAAGGGGGCTGTTGATACCCAATTTTTTCCAAAAAATATTTTAAAATTGCATATATACCTTTAAATGCATGCATTAATAGTAATTGGTATTTTTCCATAATTTCCCTATATTTTTATTAATTTATCCAGCATTTTATTTTCAATAAATAATTACAAAATGGCATTACGAGTGATTTCAAAAATCATTTCTTGATTTAATTTATTATTTCTAGTCCTATTTAAACCAATATTTCATAATTAGCCAAATTGTCATCGTTTGGCTACAATTGCAAAGTAATTTTGTACTATTTTTACCAAAACTTAGTCATTTGTATTTTTAAATACTAAATAATTATTTTAAACTATTTTCTATGCATGAAACTCATTCTTATAATTATTAGCTATTTTGTAAATTGTTTTAATTAATTTGAATTGGGTATTTAACAAATAGCCTAATTTCATTTCAATTCTAGCCTAAATTAAACCAGACACAAACCTGATTAAATCAGTGCAATACCCCCAAGACCCAATCCACTATCCTACCCGACCCAATCCCTATTTGATCTGGACCGTTGATCAATTTTGATCAACGAACCAGATTCGTCCTTACCACAATTAACCCTAAAGACTACCCCCATTCCCCTCTCATTCGCTCTCATTCTCTTCGTCGTTACATCTCTCTTCTCTCTCTCAAAATCTTCTCTGTTAAACCTAGCCCCTTTCACCGGCCGTCGCTTTGTCGGTCATTATGGTGGTCTCACCACCCTCCCAGCCTCATGGCTCTCCCTCCTGCACCGGGTTTTGTTGCCTTGAGGTCCTCAAAGGAACCAGAAGGTGGTTCGCTCACCTCCCATGGTTTTTCATGTTATTTTCCTATCGTTCATGGCTGTCCGAGGAAGATTCTACCATTTTCGGTTAGAACCTATGATTTTTGAGTCGATTCTCTCTCTTTGGGTTCTCTCTCGGAAACTCTGATTTTGACTCTTGATTTCTAAGATCTGTAACAAGATATGGGTCTATTCGAGTTCTCTTTACTATTTTTTTCTTCTAAAATGACTCTTCGTCTTCAAACTAGGGTTTCTTGACCCCTTCTTAAAAACGGCTTTTCCTTCTGATTTTAACATTTTTCTATGATTTTCACCATGTTTAAACATTTATTTTAGTTTTCTCCTTTTATCCGAGTTATTATGTTAAAGCTCTAAGTTTCTTGGGTTTGTCCTGTGATTCTAAGTTCGTTTTGATAATGTGTTCAACTAATTTGTATGATTCTGTGATTTTTACCCTATGTTTGCTTGTTAGGGTTTCTGATTATGATTATTCCTGCCTATTATGTGATTTTACTCTATTTTGTTCATTAATGTTTCTGATTCTTCCTCCTACATGTATCATGTTTATTCTATTAATTCAGACTATGCTCTACATGAATCCCTAATTTTTATATGATTTTTGCCCTACTCGGCTTCTTAGAGTTCTGATTTTACTTACTATGTGCTTGTTCTCATAAAGTTGCGCTAAATCAGTGCTATTTTCTACTTTTGAATCTTTGAGTCTTTGTGATTGATCCTTCACTGATTTTGCACGATACTCTCTACTGATTTTTAACCT